CCTGGAGAGACTGGTAAATTAAGGTTTTGTGTTGTGCACATCTGTGTCGACGTCCTTGACTGTGCTGGATGGTTGACAGCAAAGGCTGCAGCTGACCTCGAGCTCCACAAGATATAAACCAGCTCTGCTATTGTTTGACATAATTAACTGATACATTTAAAGGAAACCTCAAACTGTTCAGTATCTCTCTCATCTTCTTTCCTCGTCTCACTCTTCTAAGCACACTTAAGTACAGTTTACATTGTGACGATGAGGCTCATAAGGTATAATACATTAATATGAATGATATTATGCAGAAGCAGATTCCATTGCAAGGCAAAGGGTTGGCTTCTTAAACCAAGCAAATTCCTTCATGATCATCCAACTTTCAGCGGAGGGAAAATAAGCCCTGAGATCAATGACATCATTATATTTCTATGCACACACCCCCAGCGTGCCATTCTCAGATGTAAAAGCTCCAATAAATCTCAGGATGAGGCAGAACTTTCCGCTAACGAGGGGAAAATCAGCCAAAATCTCGCTTTTAAAATCTCTTGGCATTCATGAGAGAGCGTGTTTGGGTCCGTGGGCATTAATGCAGGTGTGTGTGTGTGTATGTGTGTATGTGTGTGATGCTCTGTACGGTATAATCCTCTATTTCACTCTCAACACAGCAGGCCACACATACTTAGTGGGGTGTGCCACTTTTCAGCCTATCTCTGAACACAAATACCTGAGATCATGACTGCCTTTACTAATGAGGATAACCCTAAACTCACTAAGAGCTCGACGAGAAGATTGACACCACTCTCATGTCTGTACGCCAAATATGGTGCTTTAGCAAGGAAATGGTTTGCCTTGCCTAGTATAATAACAAGGAGCAGGGGGGAAACTGTTAGCCAGGCTCTGTCCAAAGGTAAAAAATAATCTACCCACCAGCACTTTTAAAGCTGACGTACAGTATTAGCACATTTTCTCTCAGTTATGTGCCAAACTATTTTGTGTCTGGGCGCACTAACTTGGAGTCTCTGCTGATTCACGGTATCCCTAAACTAAGCTTAACTACAGATTCTTGTAATTTAGTCAGGATTTGACATCAAATTTTACCTATTGGTGGGAGTCCAGGTGCATTCACAATACTTTGTTATTCCAGTGCGTTTCTTGCAACGTAACTCCCTCCACATTTCATCTTCATGATCCATCTGTCCATCCAGCATTCACACTGCTGTTTTTAAAGAAATTGCCTTCTCTCATTTTACGTGTTGACCATAGCTGACCACTAAATATGAAGCTACAGCTAGAAGATGGTTTTCTAAATGTAGCTTGAAGATTGGAAAGCGTGGTTCTTGCATGATAAAACTAATTATGTGCAACATTATATAGTTTTAATGTGCACAACGGATTTGAATGGGGGCTGTTGTTTATGGCAAAGATTAGTGCAACTAACACTGCTGTGGATTAAACTGTATTACTCATTATAGCTTTTTAGCTGCATCCTTAATCCCATCAATATATTTGTTTAAATGGAGTCTGGATAACAAATCAAACTGCAGATTCTCTAGATTCTAACTGTCGGAAACTGTCATCTGAATTAACCACAATTATAGGGACTAAAATTTTGATTTGCGCATGGTCCCAACCTCTTGGATGATGGCAGGGGTCCAGCTCCTTGTTGTCTTACCTTGCACTGTAAGTGTGCTGCTTTGCTGTTGTTGACACAGCTTCGGGCTGACCTTGCCTCAGCATGACTCACTGCCATGCCAGCAGGCATTATCGCCACCTGACTGACCTTGCCAACAGGAAATAAAAAATAAACACCATGTCAAACAGCCATGACTTATGAGGGTTAAGTGGATTATGGGTGTGGTGTCAACTTGAACTTCTGAGATTCAATCAGAGCTGTGAGTGTCTGTGGTGTGAGATCGCTCTGTTAAAACATATTTAACGCGACTATGTTCCCCCCGACATCTCTGAGTATCTGTGTGCAACTCACACCCATTAACTGACTCATTAGGTGATAGTATTGTGTGAATTTCAGACCCGAGCGAGGCGTTGCACAATGAGGCCTTTGAGCAACATTGTTTGAGCAACAAGTCTCATGTCACATATGATGTAACAGCATGAGGAGACTTTATTGAAGCCCTGAAGAGAAAAAGAGATGAGGAGCAGTGGGATAGAGCAATATGAGCATGCCATTAACCTCGGGGCATCGAAACAAAGATAATGAGCCGATAGAAGGCAAAAAGTATGCTTCATATGCTTCTCTGTTATTCATGTGTTTAATAATAACCCTTCCTTTAGGCCATGTAAAGAGCAGAACAGAAAGGTAGTGTTGGCTAATTACAAGTGACACACAGGCACAGACAGATTAAATTATCAGTACAACTCCAACCCGATAATACAGACACAAACTGTTTGCACCTCCACTGAGAGACACACCGTTCCTCCTTTTTCATTTGTGAGCAGCAGCATGAGGAAAAAGGCCAGCAACTTCTCTTAATTCTAGCAGGAGAAGTGCAACTTTATCAAACAGATGCAGCTCAAGTCAGAACAGTGTGAAAGGCGCCTTTCCAAAAACTAAATCCTCAATCACTGTTTGTGCAACAGGAACACTGTGGATTGAAAAGGTGTCCTTGGGCATTTCACCTGCATATGTAGAGCTGAAGCAAAAACATAGAAAAGAATATTTGATCCATAGATGCTACAAGCCGAGGCACATACTGTATTGGTTGAACCATGGCAATTTCCTTCCGTAGATTTAGTTTTGGTTCAGGCTGCTGAGCATAAAAAAACTATTTCAGTCACTACCAGGAAGGTTTGAATGTGGATCTAGAGTTTCAACTACATATTCTGTCCTTTAGAAAACACAAATAAAGTTGTTAAAAGGGACAGCTGTGTCTGACTCCAGAATGTGCTTGAATTACTGCGCTCCGTTCACCATAGTACTACGAATGTGTTGTGTTATTGATGACCTGTAAGGAAATCCTGTTTTGCTTTCCCTCAGGCCTCTAGAGAGAGAAAGGTTCATGCTACATTACAAAAACAGCAGGAGCTGGTAGGGAGTGTCTTCAGTAGGGTGGATGCTTGCCAGGACAAATGCTGGAATTTCTGGTTGAAGGGTATATTCCCGACCTTCTGCTCCATAGTGCTGTCTGTTCAGGTCTCATGCTGATTAATCTAAGGACATGACATGACTAAGCTTGTTATTAACAAGGGGGCAATAATTAAGCAGCTCTCTGCAGGGACTGCCAGGGTAATTAACGCTCATGATCAACATTCTTTCAGCGAGCAACTCAGCCTTGGAGAGTTCTCTGGGCACCACACACACCACAGGTTTAAATTTAATAAAGCAGAAATATTTTTACTTCTGCTGAGTTTCTCTTTTTGCCTCAGATACTAAAAGAAGTTGTTGGGTTTTTTTAAATTTTTTTTATCAAGGTTTCTGATAATAGGACCAGGTGTGTGCCACAGAGTTTTTACAACAAGGTGGTCAAACTCAAGTAAGAACTGACACAAAAGCCAGATATTAAATTCTACTTATTACAGTAACAGTGCAAATAAAATGTTCTCGGTCATGCTCTTAAATGTCTTGCTAATGTAGGTCTGAAGAATATTTAAGTCCTTTTTGTCCATCCAATGCAGCATATGCCTCTTTTTATTTTGACAGATGTGAAAAGCAGAAGTTAGAATTTTTAGTGATGCTGCGTCGCAAAGTGGAACTAAAAATGGTTTAGAAAGGGGGGCATGGTTTTTTAATGTGCTGTTTTGCAACTTTTGGCATCTTTGGATGTAACATCCCACATTCATTTGTAAATTAACTGGAAATCATCCAGTTTATGAAAAAGTGCAACATAGAAAAGCTCCACATTTGTAGCTAAGAAGGGGATTTTGCAACAAAAGGTAAAGAGAAACCAAAAGTGTTAGGTGTTTGCAGCAGCAATATCATCCTCTGTGAGGAGGAAGAAGAGTTGCAGAGAGTGGCCCAGATCTGTGCCTGCAGCGAGGGAGGAAGCGCCTCGTCTGCAGCGTGGCAGTCACAGCCTCGCTGCTCGGGGGAAATGTCAAAGCTGTCATACTGTATAAACCCTCAGGAGAGCGGCCACTGAGAGCTTCTCTGTGTTTACATCTCACGGATGCACCAAGGAGAAGCACGCATGCATGAAGTCGAGTCGCACATGCATCTGTCTATAGGATCATGTGCATGCATGCACGGCTGCATGAAGGCTGCAGAAGTGCGAGCCACACTCACTCTTTTGTTCACACTCACTCTCAGTCATCACCTCGGAGTGGATATTTTCTGGACCACCTCATCAAGTCACAATGAGTCGAGCTGACGCACTGTGATGTGCTCTGCTGTCTATGCAGTGGCATCGATTCTGTGCAATGCTTCTGCTAATGCATTTACAAGCAATGGTGAACGTCAACACCATTTAGACTGCATTGATCGGGGCCCCACCTGGGGCCAGACTAATAGAGCATGTCTGGGGTAATCAACCCAAGCTATAGACAAGCAGTTCAGCCTCCTGCAGAAAAAGCCCTGTCTGTAATGTAGGACCACGCCCGTGCTCTGCCCCACTGATTCTTAACAAGTCGCCTGTGCTTTTAGGCATCAGTTTGATGGTGTAATTAGCGGTCATACAACTGTTTAACTGACTTTTACAAATCCACAAGATCTGTTGTAATTATCATTTATGCAACAAGATAGCTAGCACTGCCATTACAGGTGGAGGTTTTGAGCTGTTTCTGTGCTTCCTGTAGCCAACAGTGCATGTCTGCTGTTTCTTACAGCTAAGTGTTGGCTTGTGTGTGTGTGAACTTTGTGTCTTTGTTCAGAAAAGTGCTATAAAAAGTTAGTTCCTGCTTCCCTGCTAACTCCGGACGCAGAACAGCACTTATCTGTAAACACATTGCACAAAGAGGACATGACTGGTGAAACATTTTGAGTTCTGTTTTGATGCATAAAAACATTTTAATGTATGTACTTAATATGAGAGTAACTCCAGGACCAGCATGGATACAGCTCCATTTGAACAAGTTGTTTAATCCAGTACTTTGCTTAAGCATGAGTTTGGAACAAATACAAAAAAGGCAATTTTCCAATAAACTGAACCAGTGAACTTTAAATGATAACATAATAGCACAGTTTCCCGTTTTGTTTCATGTTATCACTTTAATGTTTCATGTCAGGTTGTAAATGTGTAACCCTTTGTCATAATAACACTCTCAGAGGGCTTCACAGGTCACATTAGACAAGAATCAAGGAAATCCCCTTCCAGGGCAAATATAATACAAATATTATTTTAAGTTAATGTAGCACATTGCCGCTGTCCAGTGAAACCGACATATATCCAAATTTGGTGTATTTTCAGATATAACCAAGGATTAAAATGTCTCCATGCCGCCTTTACTGATGTGATAAGATGGATTTTATTGCACTACTACCATCTAAGATAATAAGTCTGTTGGTAATTGATAACATTATGTGATAGCATTGACTTGTGTATGTATGAGTACATGATGGTATGCTATTCTGTTTTAAGAAAATCCCCCTAAAAAGTTATTCCTCTTCCTAGTAAGGTTTTGTCCATACTGCCGTGTGGGACTCCCCGAGCGCTTTGAGAGCTGTATTAAATTACACTCTGAAGTCCTATCCTATGAGCTAACATACACATGGCCCTCGACCCCCAAAACGTAGCTGCTCATACCTCATGTGCTTGTCATTGGGTTAGGGTTACGTCGATAAAAAGCACTAGTGGTGAGCATTTGTATCCGATGGCCTCTAACACAGCAGAAAAGAAGGAACAAGTGTTGCATATTTGCAGGTTGCAGTTTTTTCACATTGGTCTGCTGATACTGACACCACAGACAACATAGAGAGATATGGTTGGACAGGAAGCCATAATAATGAAATAAACATGTTTTTCCTGTTTAGTCTCCTGTCTCCGTCTCTTTGTATCTCTGCCGTCAAACACAGCTAATGGCGAGGTGTTAACGTGCGGTCGATGGCAGTCTCATCCGGCTTCACTAGCACTGCCGAATGTAGCTCCTGGGTGGGTAGTTGCCATGGAAATCCACAGCAGACCCTGTGTTTGTCTCTGCCAGCGAGTGACGAGAGATAATTGACTACCTGCAGATAATATATAACACAAATAACAGGAGAACACTTGATATGTGGCTGTTGGTTTCTCTCCCCTCCTCTAGCCGTGCTAGTAGCACTGGACCTGTGCTAACATGCGGATGTTTAGCACTAAACAGAGTAATTAAAGCTGTTACATTAATGGGTTTGCAGGTATAAACCAAAGCAATGGATACATTTAAATTTTGACCGGATAGTGGCGCTAGAGAGGAGGACATGAATTTATGTACCAAAGTTCATGGCAACTTATTCAAAAGTTGTTTAGACAGTTCACGAAAAATTGTTAATTCGCACCAAACAGCCAAAGTACCAACTGCACGTTAGCTGACACCCCAACCCAGGGTGCGAAATATTTCTATTTTTCAGCCTCTAATTGATCACACGTGAAATCAGGCTGTTGATGTATGATCTAATACACTTTAATAAAGATACATGCATGCTATTCTTGCCATCACCGTTGAGGCATAGTGGTGCAATATCTTCTCTAACTTTAATTCAAAGATCAGAAAAAAACAAATCAGTCCGTCTGCGTGCCGAATCACGTTGAAGTATTTTGACCTGCTGGTGGCATTACAAAAAAAGGCAAGGGGATTACCTGAGTGATCAGGATCATCCTCTTGGCATCATGGATGTCTGTGCCAAATTTAATGGCAATCCATCCAAGAATTATTGAGATATCTCCGACCGACTAACCAACATTTCCACACCTGAAGCCATGGCACTAGCATGGCCATAAACAGTGTTTGAAGCCACATACTAACCACAACCACTCCCCAAAGGTCCATCAGCTACTACTAAGTGCAGAGACACCACAAGCCCACAGTGCAACAGCCTGCTAGTAGAGCTTCAACAATGGCCCATGTGTGTTCGGTAATCATTAGTCATCAGTCCCTCAGTTAATCAGGCCTCTTTCAAATACATTCCTTCAGTGGAGACAGGAGGCTGCAGGAGACAGATGGTCAAATATGTCTAAAAACAGACAACAGAGCAGAATGTGCTGCGCTCATAATCTCCTGAGTATTCGAATCACGCCAACAGCACAGGTTTAATGATGAGTGCTTGCCAGGGAGAAACAGTCTCCATGAGACAAGCATCCAACCGCCCAACACCAGGAAGTGACTCAGCAGCAGCTGTTGCCATGGGTTACCGGGCAGGACACCCGTCGGATCTCAACAGGCTTGGTGCTGACACATCCCCCACCCCCCTCGTCCCCCCTTGGACAGTGACTCCACCCATCTGCTGCTCCACCTCAAATCCTCCGTCACTTTCTCAGGAGGCTCTGATGCAGGCCTGTGTGGAGCCTTGCAGCATGCGGAGGAGAGGCAGAGGGAGAAATGGGAGATGGGAGGTGTTAATCCCATCTGAGGGAGGACCTGCGAGGCTTTGGCCTAGTCTCACCGCACTAGCACACTAACCTCCACATCTACCCCTCCTCCTCGATGCAGATTAATGCCTTATTAAGAGCAACTGACTTAACACCAATCCACTTACACTAACATGTAAGATTTGCAGACCATTACGTGACCTGAGATCAATCTCACCGACGTGGGCAGAAACAGCTGAGAGACTTTGATGCTTTCTCTCTGCAATATGCACTCTGTAAATGTCGTGTTAATCCGCCACAGGAAACACAGAGTTAAATACTGTAACAATGCTGCATCTGACCTGCTTAGAAATGTCGATTTGTGGCCCATTTGAACACACTCAATGAAATAAAAGCATTACATATATGCAATGCATGTCGTTTACAGGAAATGTCAGCGATGTCATGTTAATGACATTAAGGCTTTGTAGGCGGTGGCTAATTTAGGACGAAGGCAGTTTAGGACGAAGGGCTGAGTAAATCTCCCGCTGAGGCTACACCCTGTACTCTGGGTCAGGGCACGCTGTCCCATAAGCCATTGCTCACCAATGCATCAAACCCAGATAATAAATACATGAGCAAATGCTGCTGATATACTTCTGTAACTCTTCTCTTTCTGCTTTTTTACTACTGGCACTTTAAAGAACAGAGTACAGCTAAAAAAATTGACATACACATGCATCCAATATGTATTTACATTGTATTAAATCATCCTTAGCTTTTAGCTTTGTATAGTAATCCCTGAAAGGATCAAAGTTGCTCAGTAGACAGAGTCAACTTCCTGGATTTCAGAACTATTTTGCTCCAAGGCTTGAGTCTTTCTGCAATAATCTCTGACTTTAAAGTGAGCTTTAAGCTGACAGTGGTCATCATAACTTCGTCAAAGACCTTCGTGACAGGTGGTCTGACAAGTTGCTTTCATTTCACACAGGGACACAAACTTTGTCTCCTGTGCTGGTAAATCCCTGTGAGGGTTGCTGCAGAGAAGTTTAAGCCTTTCAATAGTGCACAGCCTCATCCCTTAAGTAACATTAAAGGATTGTTTGGCATGAGTGTAAGATAGTGTGAAAGACGATCAGTCTAAAGGTGGCTAACTGTTCTTCTAAAGTGTGAGGGGCTGTGGTAAAATATGCAGCCATGTTGACTCAATGAGGATTTATGTGGCAGAAAAAGCACGCTGCAGTACAGTTCTTTAGTAACAAATTCTTTTTTATTACAACATTTCACGGTTTTCCATTTCTGGTAATGGTTTGTGGCAGAGTAACATGACTGCTGGAACTCCAAATAATTTTGATCTACAGTTGAAAGCAAACACATGGAATCAATTACCTGTATTTTTTTTTTCCTTTTCCTCATTTGAGACAATTCAAAGACAGATTGCAACACAAAAGCTATCCCGAATCACTCTGACAAAAGGGCGTTACAATTTAACCGTAAATAAGGTCCATTTGAGCATCTCCCAGATCTAGATGGAATCCGTTACACTTTTTTATCCTTGTGTACAAAATAAAAAACATTGTGACAGACAACAGTATCAATTTTTGGGGCATTTACATTTTGGCCAGCGTACAAACAAAGTTGTGCATTTTCCGAAGATTAGGAGACGAAAAACCAATAAAAACAACAAAAAAGCTTGACGCCTCAGCTTTGGCGCAAAAGCAGCCACACAGGAAGTTGGGTGTCGGTGGCGATACGATGATGAGCTTCCTGGGACGCAGGCCACGCCCTCGTCCCTTGGGCCCTGTCTGCTGCACGTCGGCGTTGGTGGTAACAGTGGTGAAGAAGAGACATGCACCTTCTGCAGTCCCCCTCCCCTCCCTCCGCATCAGACAAATCCTCCTCATCTGCCCCGACAGAAAAGACGAGCGTGAAGGTGATTATGGTGGTATTCGTTGAGGGGGACGGGGCCGACCGCCCTGACGAAGGCATCATCCGTCCGCAGGCTGTGCAGCTTGGTTATTGTTGTCGTTTCATAATTTCGGTTACAAGGTTATACAGCTAAAAGAAGTGACTGAAAACAAGGCAATGCGGGAGGAGGGGGGGTGGGGGTGGGGGTGTACAGTGCATGACGGGAGGGAGGGGCTTCACGACGTGTCCGCCTTCTCCTGTTCGATGGCTGTGGAGGGAAAAGAGAGGAAGATATGAGAACCCCACAGTAAAAAAAATAAACTGGATAAAGAGCCACACTGTGCCTGGGCTCCATTTTCTGCAGCAGTGTCCGAAGTGCAGCCTTACTTTCTTTTGTAGGCAGGGGATTCTTCTCCTGCGTCTCTGTCTTCTTCAGCTTGGACTTGTCGAAGCTGGTCACCTCTGAAATGTCGGGCTTGTCGCTCATTGTTGCAGATCTGTTGAGATCAGAGAGGAAGCACAGTTTAACAGAGAGCCAGCTGCTGATAAATCCACCAAACTACAGGTGTCTGTCACCTATAAGCTGCAAGAATGATTACAGAAAAATATATCTAATGTATATTTATCAGACTGTCACAATGTTAATGTGCTTTTGAAGGTATGAAGCACTCAAGCATGTGGTCTAATCTGACTTCTTATCAGTGGAAGGGCGTTGCCTAAATCTCAGTGGCCGAAAAAAAATCTGTTAACTACATGCGCAACCGCAGACTACTTTTCCCTCTAATGTGCGCGGCTGCGTCCGCCTTCTTTTGTTCGCCTGCGGCTCTGCCCAGAGTGATTTGACTGCCATCCATCCCGTTATCCAACACACAGCCCGGGATGTTGCACACAGGGGACACAGGCTGCTCCAGACAATGAAGCCAGTCCAACCCGACATTTACATAACAATAGGAGTTCCCATGCTGGGCAGACCGAGAGAAAAAACTATGAAAAAAAGGAGAAAGACGGCATGCCTGTGTGTGAATAGTCTTTAAAAAATAACATTTTAAGAATAAAAACGGTCGTACACTGGAGGTAAAATGTTGATTTATGAGCGGTCACGTAGGGGCTTTCCACATGGAGGCTGTGCAACATCCGCAAATTCACTTGTCACGTACTTCTCCCCTTGGGGTGCAATCTTAAGGAACCACCGCCCAGATTGGCATTTTTGCACATTCATCTTGGTGTTAAAATCCAAGTTCAACTCCAAAATTTCGAAATATGCTCAAAAAAACAGCAGGCAGCCGAGTTCAGAGCCCGATAAAGCGCCGTGAACGCGTCAAAGCATCTTTTTAATAACAGAACCAGACGCATGCAGCTCGCCCACAAACTGCAACAAAGGAAACAGGCTGATATGCATGAATGTGTGCCCTTCAGACAAAGACATACCACACATGTCTGCCCTGCTGTCACATTACACCCTGTTATGACCTATTAAAACATAAAAATAAGCTGCATTCACTTAAAACCGATATTATCTCCCGTTTTTATCCCTGGTTATCTGTTTGGCACATATTTCCCCAGCGCCTGTATCTCATTCCTCGCATTAATATTAGTTTAACTCTGTTGTAGTTGCAGATAATGAAGCTCAAACTATATAAATTATTTGTTGAATGGGGCTTACCAAAGTGTCGGCTGACGGCTGGAAGGTCTCTGGTCAGTGCGTTGCAGCAGTAGTGGCGCGTCTTTGCGCAAGCATTAGATATAGTCAGAAATATGCTAATGACATCTGACATCACCAGTTCCCATCATCCGTATCCCCCTGCTGGAGAGACACAAACCCTCCATGCTCATACTGAAAGCAAACACTGAAACCCCTGAAATGAGCCTCATATTATCATCTCCCAGAGGAATGAAATGTAAATAAATCCATTTCATGTGTTTTTGCGCTGTACAGTAGCAATGTGCTGCTGAATGCGTCACTCCGAGCTTCCATGGAATCAGTTTTTATGCCAGCACGGTGCCCGTACACCTCTGGTTACCATCACTACAGCTGTTTAAGTTAAAAGAAAGCATTAGTTCGGCCGCATTTGATCTGAAAAATGGGACTTAAATGGCTCTTTATTTGTCCTCATGACTTTTATGTGTCTGCAGCGGCTCCGGGTGCACATGCGTGTAGAAATGGCTCCCCCTGGTGGCCGTCCGCTCCTTCAGATGAAGGCAACTCAGTGTTTGTGATGTCATGTGTTAACACTTTCATATTAAAGATTTTTCCTAAATGTTTCATCATTTTAAACCTTTATGACCAAAAAGTTCTGAGTTCAACTATACATTTCCAAGTGTCTGCAAAATAAAGAATTCCTACCAGCTTTGTTGTGAAGCCGACCATAACCTTTGACAATATTGAGCTGCTGATTGAACTACAGGCAATTCATTAATATAAAAAATATACCACAAGTAAAAGTCCCGCCATAAAATTCCCTATACATGTGAGAAGAAGTTAGAGGGGAAAACGCTCATAGACACGTTACAATATGATAGGGGCTCGTAACAAGGCATTTCATCCTGTTTAACATTTTTATCTAAAAAAAGCTAACCAGCAACTCCAGCTGTTAGTCAAGTACAGTGCAAGTACCTGAAATGTTGATTGAGTACTTGAATAAAGATAATAAGTACATTTTCAGTTTTTATCTCATCCTCAACTTCAGTTTCATTAGTGTGCCAACATGAGTGAAACGCCATCATATCAATCTAATGTTCACAATTTTGCACAAAAATGTTAACTTATTAGTCATCAACAGTAAAAACTGTTGTATAATGTCTTATATAGTTCTGATGACATCACAGTGATTTCATCAGGGTCATATCACCTCAGGCTTGGAGGATGAGGGTTTGAAAGAAGTTGGCGTTCACCAGGGAGGGAGAGAGATGTTCTTGAGTTGCATTATGAGAAATGTAGGAAAAGATTAATCTCTCAGAAGAATCAACAACCAACTAATTACTGGTTAAAAAGGACAGACACAAGAGCAGGACCATTGTAAGCCATTGTCAAAGCTTTATTGTCAAAGAAACAACTGGAAGTGTTACATATAAAAAAAAAAAAATCACCTACAGGTAACCAGTGAAACCTGCCTCATTGGAACTAAAGTGACCCATTACAGCTGCAATGACAATTAGACAATTTTTTTAGAGCAAATCACGGTTGAAGTATTAACACTATAATCAAGCTTTGGGCTCAATTTGTTTTCATGACCTTTTGGAACATGGGCACAGCACCCACAACACCTCGTATTAGACACTTTTAATTAACAACAGACCTGCCGGAGAGTTTGGAAAGTTGTCTCTGGACTTCATAGCACTGACAGAGAAGGTTAACAGCAGCTTATTGTGGGAGAAATTACACTGCAGAGGTAAGATGCATCGCACATTCATGAGGTTCACTACAAAAACCCTGAAGAGAGTGAGTAAATTAAGTGTGTTCTCTAATTTTACACTTGTCTGTGTCTGTGGTCACATCCACACATGTCCACTAGTGGTGAAGCTTTTTAAACTACCGTCTGTGGCCTGATGATGGCGCTAAGCATAAACTATTACAATCAATATAGCATTAGCTAGTTAAGGGTTAGGCTCTAATATTTTAATACATTTTGCAGCTGTTAAAGCAAAAACTTGAGGGGGAAAAAGGGGCACATTTATCACTTTTTTCTAACTATTTTTTATTACCTTGTGAAGCAGAAAGGGGCCAAAATATTTCAAATCACATGACATAGTGGAATGCTTCATTTAAAGTGAGTTCAATAGGAGGTACAAATAATACAAAATGTTACATAATGGACCCTTTGGTTAAAGTGAAGGCCAGGCCTCGGTTGTGTTCAAGGTCGGCAGGACTGAAACTGAAACAAGAGGAGAAAAAAAAGAAAAGACAACAGATACTCATAAATACAAACTTGGTCTTCAGAGAAGGAAGTGATATTTCTCTCGGTCTCCTGGGTGAAAATGTCAAAAGACAATGTGTGGGCATGACCTTTAAACAGTCACATGGGGTTGGCCCAAAACCATCGGGCCCTTTTTTCGAGGCCTTTCTGGAGGATATGTGGCAAAGAAGTGCCAGCAGAGTGGCCTGACAGGGGAGCAGAGAGAGAGAGAGCATGCTGGGGGTCGCCCTCTCTCGGTCTTTACAAGGGTACATGGCTGAAGAGGTAGGACACTGACTCGCCGTTGTGGGTTCTCCTGATCGCCTCCGCCAGGATCATTGAGATGTCGATGACCTGAAGGAAACAGAAAGGAAAGTCCAATGTGAGAAAAAAAAAAAACAACAACTTTGTGTCTATTTCCCCATTAAGTGAAGGGTATTTTGGGGGATTGAGGGTGAAATATGATCGTACTGATGATAAAGGCAACAGCTGTTATTTAACAATGTTAGTTTAACAATACTTAGGAAGCACCAGTTTGACCCCATTTACACATGGTATTAAAATGTATCTGGATATGTTATCAAGGTCCTACAAAAGTTACAAGTAGCAGAAGCTAGAGAGTCTGCCCTCACAAAAATGAAATGAAATCTTCCGTTTATGGAATTGCTTCCTGTGATTCAATCAGTGCTTATTAATATTAGTTCCCATGGATCGGATGTGATTATCAAGACAATATACCCAGATACAGGTGTGAATATAACGTATGAATAAGGAACAAATAAAGCACAGAATGTGTAAGAAACAACAATGAAACAACCCTGTAGAGTTGTATATGAAGTGGGAGATGGACTACAAAGTACAAACTCATTCACAGAGCTACATCAAATGTTTGTGATTGATGAGGTTTTTCCCCGACAGTAAAATTCTAGGTGCTAACTCAAGTTAGCTCACTTAGGATGAGCCAAGAACAGTTTGCATAGAATGATCCTGCATCAAGTGTCAGTGGGTTGGATTTTAATAGGCAGAGCTTCATAACATGGGCTGAGAGAGCAAAAATCTAATTGAGAACACTGTTGTTATATGCAACACAATGTTTACTCAAGTGTTGGGGCAATACTGCATATACTTATAGTGTGTGTGTGTGTGTGTGTGTGTGTGTGTGTGTGTGTGTGTGTGTGTGTGTGTGTGTGTGTGTGTGTGTGTGTGTGTGTGTGTGTACCTGTATTTTCGGGCACGCTTTCATCTTTTCTTCCTGTGGGATGGTGTTGGTCACCACCACGGCCTCGAACGGGGCGCTGTTGATGCGAGAAATAGCCGGACCGGAGAAAATTCCGTGTGTGAGGATGGCGTAGACCTTTACCGCGCCGGCATCGATCAGCCTGAAAGGAGAAGATAAAAACTGTAAATGGAAAATGTATTTTACTCGTTTTATTATTCATGTCATTCTAAACCAGTGCCAGTTTTTCACTTCACCTTCTGTGGAGTTTTCATGACGTGGAGATTGCTCTGTTGTACACGCACTTGTGTTGCAATCTCTCAATTGATAAAAGCAGCTTATCAGTTTAATATCAATAAGCTGCAGTCACCACACATCCTTATGCAGAAGTCTGTACACGCCCTCCAACACTTAACAGGCTGTGATCTCTAGTTAAAGTGTCGCCCTTAGTTTGTCCATCACACCAACAACATAATGACAAACAGTAGAATAAATAAAGGATCTTATGGTGCTATCCATTTGTCTCGTAAATCCCCCGCCTGAGTTACTCTGGCGCGAGAACGTGACGTAATTGCCTGGCTTGTACCACTTATAGCGTTCCAGTTGTCTTTGGGCATTACGAGTCGGAAAGAAGTGCAGCAGCTGTGTTGTTATTGTTTGTGGCTCTTCTAAACAAGCTCAATGTGAAATAATAATGGTTTTCTACAGAAACACTAACATTTCAAATAATTCCGTTATTGCAAGTCTTACATTTCAATAATATTTTGCCATTTTCGCCTATTTCAATTTCAACAAGTGCTGTGGCGTTTGTCTCGAGCCACCAGGGGCCACCAGGGGCCACCAGGGGCCTCCAGGGGCCTCCAGGGGCAGTGGCAGGCTAGTGTTATTGTTAGCTACATTAGCCTATTTAGCAAACCAGCTCGAAAACAAAACTTTACATTGTATTGCACGAACAGCAACACCGTGCAATGCATAAATTGGTGACCGGACTAAAGCAGCAATGTAAACAAGTGTGTAAGAGCATTTAAAATCGACATTAAAACGACCAGCGTAGTACAAATACAAAGAAAATACATCTCAATATGGGCGGTGTCCTCGTTTAGCTCAGTGTACTGTGAGGTACCAAAAGGGGGCGTGTCTCGGTGAAATGTCACGAGATTTACACTTTCCAACTCGGGCTGGGGGTTTTAAGAGACAAATGGACAGCACCATTAATGACACCCACTTGTCGGCAGCGTGACAGATGGTGCCACAGGTGTCGGCCATGTCGTCCACCAGGATGGCCACGCGGTCCTTGACGTCACCCACCAGCACCATGCGGTCCACTTCGTTGGCCTTCTTCCTCTCTTTGTGGATGAGGGCAAAGTCCACGTTCAGACGGTCTGCGATGGACGTCACGCTGGACCGAGGACAAACAGAAGGACCCATTAAACACTGACACCTTTAACTGCTGACTTTTATTGCGATCCACTTGATTTAACCTCGTCGAGGCAACCAGCTGGAGCTTGCCTTCTAAATGGTGAAAGCTGCAAACAAAGTACCGTCTAAAGAAACTTGTGCACATCAACAAGGTCTCTGCTATCTTACCGTTTTGCTCCGCCGGCATCTGGAGACACAATGATACAATTTTTCCACTCTGGAATATTTTCTCGGATCCACTGCAGAACAGCAGGCTCTGCGTAAAGGTTGTCTACAGCGATGTCGAAAAATCCCTTTAACAAACAAATACAACAGCACACAGTTACTTTCCTCCTTCCATGGACAACACCACTAACTAATGCACTAAATTTTAGATTCAAACAAACGTCAGCGCAGGAAATAAAACAGCATGAAGCACAAATGTAACTCAATCTAGACCTGTGACTAGCTTACTTCAAAATAAAGTCAACTTGTTTTGCCAGTTAAATGCTTTTAATGTGAAGCTGCAGCCGTAGGAAATGCTCGTTTTTTTGTAAGCAGTAATTTAATACTTCATTTTCTCCAGGGATAAAAGCATCCAGGCTGCAGCTGCAAGGTGTGTGAGACACCCTGTGGGCTGGTTCTTAGTTTACGAAGCACTTAATTTGATATGGAGCAGAGTTTTCTATGAGCCTTCTGCTCATTCTCAACGTCAATATCGTAGATGATCACGTTCATTTAATTATGGGATGCCAAATTAATATTCGATCAACTGTGCAGCCCTACATTGGCCCCTCCTAACTGCCGACATAAATAGAGAAATCAACCTTTATCATTATGAAGTCGCAAGTAAGCTAAGTCATTATAAAAATACAAATTCTACTACAACAACGACGACAACTAATATGCTTGTTGTTAACGCTCTTCTTAACACTCATTCATCTCTCATATTCCACTGGTTCTCAACCCGGGATCAGGGGACCCGCAGGGTTTTTCTTTATTCTGTCCATTCTTCACTGTTTATCTACACAATAGACAGTTATGGAATGAGTAAAAAGTATCAGATCAGGATCCCTGAGACTACATCTTATCACATACAAGCCTGATGTGTATCAATTTGGGGTCCCTTGACACCAAAAAGGTTGAGAACCTGAAGCCTCACTAAGCTAAGCTAAGCTAGCAGTCCGGGTTTGGAAACATTGTCTGAATTGGTGAAGGGGGCATGTTTGAGCTAAAACCGGTGTCAAGTTGCTCTTTAAAGTAAAAATACTCATAATACAAAATAATTTATATAAACTGACATGTAGTCAATTTATCTACAGACTTAATTGTGACATAAAAGAGGGCTAAAATTCAAATCAAATGAACACTTTGCTGTGTACTGACCTGGATCTGTGAGGCGTGGAGGTCCATGGTGATGATGTGGTCGGCGCCGGCCACAGACAACATGTTTGCCACCAGCTTGGCTGATATGGGTGCTCGACTCTGGGACAAGCATCAAGACACAGTCGCTTGAGGTAAGTAAGTAAGAAAGAAATATTGAAACTTTAAAAAAACCAACAAAAAAAAAAACCCACACTGGAAGGATTTCTTTTTTCTATTTCATGCAAATACAGTCCTAGAACCCTTTATGGTGAACTTATAGTGTATTTCAAAATTGATTTCAACTCCCAGTGACTTCCTGCATTTGACATTGAGCCTTATTTTGCTGAGAGGACATTTTATCAGGACTTGTAGCTGCCAAACTTCACCCGTGACCTTCCCATTATGGTTGGTCACCATAACCAGCCAACATTGTGTAGATGTACAGCGTCAGGCAGCGGGCTGCAGGGCTTGTTGACACAACACTCGACTACCTGGAGACGATGGCTGAGCTGTGCGAGGGCTCAGGGGATATGCAGTTTGGAGATCCAGGTTTGATGCTTAATGCAACAGGATAAAGTGAAGAGTCTACAGTGTCAGTGATGACTTAAAAGTCTCAGGATTAGATCAGTTAAGTAAAAAGTCATTAATAAAATTTTTTTGTTTTCTGTCTTGGAAAGAAAATGTGAAAATCTGTTCCATGTACTCCAACAAATACGTTTTAATAATCAAAATGTATACAAGTCATTTTTGCTAATTTTCCAGTTTATAATGGCACATTTTTTAATTTAAAGAACATTATTAAACCATTACAACAGGAGGATTTTACCATCAAGCTTCCTCTTGAGAAAACATCAAAAAAACTTTCAGTGTTGTGAAATGTGAGCTGGACTTACACACACACCCATACCCCCACACCCACACAGTCCTGCAGGAAGCCATCAAGTGGCATGTTTATACAGAATGAAATCTTTATCTATAAAAAACTTCCCTGCATCCCTCAAGTCGACATGTAGATGAGGATGTGTTTGCAGAAGCTCTGACCCTTGCATGTTACATTAATGCGAGCTCATACTGAATAACTGGCGCTTTTGTGCAGGCAGAGGGAAAGAAAAGAGGAGTAACGTGAGAATAATTTACTGTAACACTCTTCAGTGGAAAAACCTCAGCTCTGTTGTTGCTTCATATGGACCCAATTTGCTGTTGTAGCTACATTAACACCTGAGGCAATACAAGATAATGATTTACAAGATAAGCAGGTTGTGTGAACCCGTTTCTCGGCCTGCTGGAATGTCTGATGGGTCAATTTCAGATTTTCCGAGAGCGGCAAACTGAAGCGCTGCAGGAATATTTCACTGAGAGTGTTCTCATGCATACGTCACTGCAAAGTTTGCTCAACCTGCTGTAGGGGAAATACCCCCAGGATTTATATATATACACATAATAAGTGAGTTGCAACACCGTAATGTCTTCCTATAAAGAAGACCTCTTACTTCTCTTATAAAGACATATTTAATATCATTACAACTGAGGTTTACTACATTTTCATTCATCATCTGTTTATAAAGCAGTCTCCACTTACACTGTGTCCACAGGAGGAGTTACAGTTGTATCTGTTGACAATTATTTTATAGTTTACAATTTATACTGAATAGGGGAGGTTAAAATACCACCAAAATATCAATTTATATAATAGATCACAGCACTGTATGCATACTATGGCTGTTACTATTTGGCAGTACTAACCTAAGACTCTGTAATTAGTGTAAAATATCCATCAGGGCTTCTTAAAGGCCAAGGTTATGTTTTTAAACGCTTGTTTTGTCAGTTTAAGCCAAATGATATTCAGTTTAATATAAGAAACAGAGAAAAGAAAGACGTCTCTGTATTAGAGCAGTCCAAAAAAATTATTGAATTGCATTGTATGCATGAAAAATTACATTATAGAATAATCAATGATCAAAGTAGGGGGCAATTATTTTTCCATCAATTGACTAATTGTTGCAGCTATAGTTTCCATAGCAATATGTCTGCATTAAAAGTACAATACTTATGAGACAACCCGCTGCTGTCACCATCTTCAGATTTTATTTACCACCATAAATCACGGTTCACAGTTGAACAGGACTGGATAGTTAAACCAGGCCTGTAAACGGATTTATGGGTGCTGATGTGTGTGTGTGTGTGTGTGTTCTCTCTACCTTGTCCTTCTTATCCTGCCGGGCGTAGGGGAAGCAGGGGATGACGGCGGTGACGCGGGACGAGGAGGCGATCTTGCAGGCGTTGATCATGATGAGCAGCTCCATTAGGTTGTCGTTAATTTCGCCACAGCCGCTCTGCACAATGTACACATCCTCGCCGCGCACGCTTTCGCCGATTTCCACACTGTTTGGACGACAAAGTAGGGAAAGGTGTGAGCTTCAGGGTCAGAGGTCAAGAGCAAAGATTTCAGACAACTGTGTTAACATTTTGCAACAATCTTCTCAGATTAATACAGTTTATTATCAAGCTCAGTGTTGCCTTCAGGAGCACTGACTCAGCCTTGATTCAGCCAAAACCTGTACAAAGTTACGTATGACACAGCTGCCTTGGAAGTCAAGAAACATGTTTGGGCCGAGTCCCTTCAGTCATTCTCTCCCCCACACACACACAGAAGCTGAAACAGATCACGTGTGTGTGTGTGAAACATTCCTCTGTGGGACATGACCAGGTCTCCCCACCCAGGCCTCCGTCATGTGACCACTGGACATGTACAGTTGCACAGGGTGAGAGTCAGGGCCCGTCTGTGCAGTCACAAGGCCTGGAGTTTTTCTAAGAGAGGCCACAGTCTGACTGTAAAGGTAGAAAATGGCTGTGGATAGAGGCTGCCACTCACATTGTTTGAGCTAGTTTATTAGCATCCCTCTTTTTCAGGCTTGAAATGTAAGATTTGGCTACCAAAGGCAACAATTTGAGATCTTTTTTTTTTTCAGTTAGTCAAACAATTAATTAACTAATTGTTTCAGCTCCAGCAGAAACAGCTATAGGTGCTGGTTCTTGTTTTTGATACTACTTTAGGAGTAGATTACTAATCTGATCAGTAACTAAGGCTCATTTTCTCTGTGGTCTGTTTTTGGTCAGTCCCCTCCAGACTTGACACCGAGCTCTAGGACTGTGCAGCTGGAAACTGAAGTTCCTGTGAGGTTGATGCCACGTGATGAGGAAGGCCCATAAACACAAGCCCGCCTGTACGACAACTCAACTGCAAGGCGCTACAGACGGTGGACAGCCCGGAGCATCAGTGGTTGTGAGTTTGCCTCCATCCAGGATATTTACGGACAGTGTGTCAGTAAAGCTCACAGGATCATTAGGACTTCTTCACATTCAGAAATCTCTATTGTGAAATTGTATTTTCAAATTACAGGTGTGTTTCCGCTTCTTTCTCTTTCAGCTCATCCTCTACTACAGTAGGTTTCTGCAACGTATTAAAATATAAATATTACTGCTGTATAGTGTATGTACCTAATAGACAGAACATCCTGCACATATAACCACTGTAGGCTTATTTTCTTCCTGAATGTACTTTAATCTTCAACTGTCCTCTTTTGCCGCAGCCCTGCCATCTTTGAATAAAATTGTGGATATGTATTATAAATCAGGATCACTGCTCTACACTAGAGCGATTGTGCTCAAAACCCCAAACAAGGTCAATAAAATATTTATTAGTATATTTCCTCCAGTGCAAACAAACAAAAAGTATTCCCACAATTTAATTTCCAGGAATCCACTCCCTCTGTCCTTGACCTCAGCAAGTCACCAAGCAAAACCAGTGTTGAAGCTGTGAGAAGAGCTGTTATTATTGTGTCCCGTTCTCACCTCCCCGTTAGCCTGCAAGGACGAGAAAATAATCTTTGTTTTGCACTTTGTGGCGCCCAAACAGCTGTATTCCCTGGAGAGAAACCTCGGCACGGATAATCAACAGTTTCACCCTGGATTTTAGAGCTGTGGGTGGAAACGTCACCAGCCGGGAGGGTCTTACAGGGGATAAAGGGGTCAAGATACCTTTACAAGCTCCGACTGCATTTAATGGAGGATGCTGTGGTGCTGGAGCTCACTCTTTAGTCCTCATGCAAAGAAAGATTACGGAAGAACATCTCATTTGGTGAATGCTGGATGCTTTTATCCAGAGTGCATTACAATAAAGTGAGCGTATCAGTGAGTGACCCCAGCAGGAATAAAATCCAACTCAGACAATGTTAATGCCGTGCTCACTGAGCCACAGGATCAGAAAACACATTAATGCAGCCCATGGTTTCCTATAACGAGAAATAACAGAATAAAATGCACTCAGATGAGATGGATTTGCTCACTGATCACACCCTAAACCACACATACATGCAGATATATGCTGAATGTACAGCTGCAGTGGACACACTGAGCTGTGATGAGTTCAGGTGGACAAAGTCAAGCAACCAGGCCAACATGAAGCCAGAAGGTCATCCTGCACAAGGGTTCAAACAAGCTACATGAGCTGATTGAACTCTGTCCAAGGCCCAGGCAGCAAAACAGGCAGTAAAAGTACTAAAAGTCCTCTGTGATGCTAATATTAAACCAGACAGGCTGCTAGCGTGCAGTCATTGATTCAACTAATGGTCGGCTCAGCCTAGGAAATGAGCACAAATTAAGTGCATGTGATTTAAGCAGTGGAGAGTTAACTAGCGTCCAAACAGGCAGTAATGAGAGCTACCTGCACATAACTTTATTCTCATTGAACCGCTGCTGCGAGTTATCCTCTCAGCTCAGAGACAATGTTTGACATTGAATGCATCCATCTGCGTGTTTGCTGTGGTCGAGGTTATTTGTTTTAGTGCTTCTAGCTCTGCTGTCAGATGCCTTGTGAGCCAGCTTAAGGTACATTTAAGTTACATGACAGTAAGTTAGCCAGCATCTATTATCGGACACACTCTCCCCCCCCAGTTTACTGTACTGCAGCTAACTCATCGGGGTTAACACTTTAACGGGCTAATACAAACACACAGCTAGCTCTTCACATATATTGGTTTGTTCCACATAGTTAGGAGTACCAGACTGGACTGTGGGGAAACACTTTGCAACACATGGACAAAACTCTGGCCCGACACTTACGTCGGGAACCAGACGTAAAGTTAGCGTAGCTAGCTTGATACGCAGCGGACTCAATGCAACGTTACGTAATTCACAACCTCTCTGTTTCTGCCGGTCTGGCTCTTTTTCTTTTTTCCCCCACCACCAGCTACACAAACCAGCCAGGCACACTTATTAAAAAAAACAAAAACCTCAACGACATGAAGAAAAAAAAAGAGAGCAGCAAACTGTCCGATAACGGGCGCACTGGAGTTAGCTTGCTAGCCGGGTGTGTTTACATGCGGCTAGCTGGTCACGTGTGGAAGTTACAGCGCTGCCCGCTGAATAGTAAACTATTGTTAGCTTCGAGCTAACCGACCCACATGTGATACCGAGGCTGAGCAACTATATCCGCCCTGCCAGCTCAAATACACGCATACTGCTTCAAACTGTCACCAGCAAAGACAACAACAAGCGTCGTTTGTGAATCAAAGATCTGCTCACCATGTCTCCTGGTTGCTGAATTTCTTCGTGATCACTTTCCCCAGCTCCAGCCCCAGCCGATCAGCCACTTTCTGGGACAGGTCGTGGTGGGAGCTCCCGCTAAAAAGCACGATGTTAGGCATGTCCGAAGAGCCGCTGCGGCTTGCTCGAGAAAAGGGAAGAAGGAAGAGTAAAAAAAGAAAAGAGAAAGTACGACAGGTCTCCCCACTTAAGGGTTATGAAGATGGGAAAATTAGGTTGCTAATGTTGCAGCTTTGGCATTGCACTGGTGCGGCGGTGGGGACAGTGTGCAGAGAGGAAATATCAGGACAGTGTTTGCATGGTAAAGGGAAGTGCCCTCCCCTCATTGGACAGTGTAGGAGTCCACTGACACACCTATTACGCTGCTGTATTGTTTACTAAACACACTGAGGCCTATTTATAAGATTAACAAACACTATTTATTATTTTAAATCTGTTTAACCACTTTTAAAAATGGGCTTTTTAGTGTTAAGTGTTTTATATTTTTACTAGATGTTTTATTCTATTATGTTCATGTTTTATCTGGTTTAAAAAAAAACCCATTTGTATTGTTGTATGTGCTATATATATTATATATATTTATTGTTATATATATATCATTTTTCAAATATAAAAATATCCCACATTGCTTGTTAAAACCCTCCAAACGAATTATTTATTTCATATTCTCATTAATTATTCATTAAACAATTATTATTCATGACAAGAGACACATGCATATATTACCTTCGTACCCTTTTTATTCATTCATTCAACTATTTTATGATTTATTGTCATTCTTATTCTTCCTCCCCCCTTGTAATCATTTTTTAATGCACTAATTATTATTTTATTGTAAAGGAATATCTTATTGCTACAAATAAACCAGCAGTGTCAATGTGGTCAATAAAATTTTTTAAATAAAAAAAAGCCAACAAATTCATTGTAAAAGACAGTTTGGGCTGGTTTTATTTGTCTTCTATGATAATAGACTAAATATCTTTGGGTTTTTGGCACTTGGTCCAACAAAACAAGCTGAATATTTTAATATTTTGGACTTTTGGAAATAATAATGGGAATTTTTCACAATTTCTTGACATTTTAGTGAGCAGAGAATGTTTAATTTGAGGAGGTGGTCACCTGATGGTTGCTTCTTTGGACTTTGACTGCATCCAACAGGCACACTTGTGATATTGGTTCTTGTAATTAGATTTTCCACTCAGCAAGAAGTCAGCTGAGACTTCATGCCTCTCGTATGTTGTCTGCCTCAGTCAGTCGTGGCATACTTTTTACCATCATTGCTGTCATGTGCTGGGCAGCTAATTTATGGTCTTCAGATCCAGAAGCTGGAAGATCTGCATCTGAGATATTTTGTAAAAAAAAAAAAACACTGAGGGTTAAACTGTCTAACTAAACACATTTCAGGAATTCAACTACAAGCAGCAGCACTGATTATTTACACTTGGATTGTGCTAACATGGACTTTGAGTATTCCTCAGGTTTTCTGTCAGTCTGATAATCTGATTTAACATCATCAGTTAGATAATCTGAATTTCTGCCTTCCTGTGAGGGATGAAGGGATAACGCACTTTAAATGTCTTCACAAGTGATAAGACAATCTCTGTTGATTCTGAGTGTATCTGCGTCTTGTTATTGATGTGAAAAAATCCTGAAATAGCACTAAAAGTTCCCCAATCCTGACCCTTTTTTTCTGAAACCCCAGTTCTTCTTACATTTCATCAAAACCTGCAAACAGAAATGACACGAGCTCAGATTATTTTTCAGAAATATATTTTATAGATGACGTCAGAGATGAAATGTCCAAAGCGTAGGTCCCAAAGAAAGATAACATTTTTCATCAATAGAGACAAACAACAAACAAAAAATAAGTTTTTTATCCATTTACATGTAAACCGAGAATTGCTCTTGAGCCACAGTGGTTATATATATAGAACTGGCCGAGGTGGGTGTGACAATCAAAACGACGATGCCCTTTTTCCAAAACCGATAGCCGTCATTTCTCTACCGTAACAGCGCCCGTTCAAAGATCTTTGAAAGAGGAACATTCTTTGGGAGAGTCTTTTTAAGGTGTGAATGTAGCAGAGGTTTGGCAGAGCATGTTTCTCTTTAGCACAGTCCATACATGTTGTAAGTGCTGAATCATGTTAAAATCACTTATTGGAAACGATATTCAATAAGAACAATATCAAATGTTTCTCAGTGGAGTCATTTGGACAAGGTCTTTTGAATAGTTTGCACACCAGAGAGGAAGAAACCCATCCTGCCTGGTGCTCTTGGGAGTTGCCGTGGGAGGTTTTATTTTTTTTAAGTCCTCCAGTGTTCTTCTTCTGTTGTGCAAATACATTTTTATTACATAGACAAGCAGGCATGCTGACTCACAAACCATGCAAAGAGTTAAAGTTGGCGCGAGCAGACGGCAAAAACAAAAGAGTAGTATTAAAGTTTCTACAAAAAAAAACCCCCAACAAAAAAAAAAGCCAAATTAAATGAGTAACAAGTGGAATGTTTTGTTAGACATGAAAAAAAAAATCAACTTAAGCTCAAATTTTACAAGTTTATAAAATGATATCAACTTAAAATAAGCATGATAGTTAGAAGGAGTTAGACTGGTGTTATGGAGAGTCAAAACATGATAGTGCAACACATACTCAGAAAGAGATTTTAAAATAATCGGCTGATGTTTTCCATCCAAAACTAGATAAAAATCCACTTTTTCAACATACGTGCCCCCTCCGCCCAGTTAAACTCAGCTAGCTACATAAAACGGCCTCTAAACCTCTTTTTGGATGTGTTGTCACAGTCGGAAGGTTAAGTGCATATCACCCATGCAGGAGAGGAAAATGTATCAGTTAGGCAACAAAGTGATCAAATGTTTTACTCTGAAGGTGTTTCGAAAGGTCAATTGCAGTGCCGTGTAATGATTTCACGTGAGGGCAAAACAGTGCAGTCGATGACGAGTTAAATATGCTGCTTTTTTTTAAAAGTTCATGGAGTAATATCGTACACCATACTGTTTGTCGCTCACAATATCATAGCTGTCATTAGTTAGAGTACATTTATAAATTTTCCATATACAAATCTCCTATAAACAGTACATGTTATAAATACACAATTGATGAAAATGCAGAAAGGCCGAGAGAGCCGTATAAAGAAAGAAAGAAAGAGTTGCTCCTTATTTTTGATAAATACAAGAAAGAAAGAAAGTTTTGAACAAGAGGTGACAATAGTACTAAGTGTGTGAATGGCAGCCCTATAACTATCCAGAAAACGGATAAAAACACAGAACAAAATCTATGGATGAAAAAAGTTAGAAAAATAATCTTATAAAATAAAAAATAAAAAGTGGACACGCTTACCAAACACATTTTCTGATATTGTAAATTGACCACTTGGTGTGGAACTCATACATGTAGATACAAACAGGCAATACTCGATTACTGCCTCTCAAAATATATTCAATTCAATATACATGACTAATGTTTAGCTCACACTAGCAAACCAAGGTAGCTGCCAACCGGCAAAGCATGAGAGGCCGATCGGCGCACGTACAGAAATGCTCACTTGATCTGTGAAGGATTAAATTAGTAAACATTGAACTGGGTACTGGGAGCCTTATCTGAAAGGGCCAATACAAGAAATGTTTGTCGACTTGCCAGCTAAGTGGAGTGAAAGTACTACTGTAAATGCAAACTCATGCTTTGGCTTTTCTTGCTTGGCTTTTACTTTTGGATAACATTCAAAAATCTTGCGAAAATGTCTGGTCTCTCTGCTCAAATGCATGCTTTATGTGTTTACAAAGCAATGACTTCAGTTAAAGGGAAGCTACATCAAAGGCTAAACCTTTTTGAGAGTTTTTCAATCTAATTTCCTTGTTTGAAGGTCTCCATGTTTGCACCGTTTTTCTACTGAAGCTGGCAACTACCTTTACAAAGCGTTTCTTTTTTTACAGAAAAATAGATCCATCCAAAAGTAAAGTAACTCTTCAAGAGAGGCTGTGAGAGACATAAATGCTGTCTTCGTCACGTTCCAAGTAAACATGCTGAAAGATTGTTTGCTTTATTTTTGTCATTCTTGTCCCCCCAAAAAGGACCCGGAAACTCTCCGTCTCCCTCCCCTGGCGCCGATTCCTCAGTGAGAAAAATCTTTTGACTTAAGGCAATCTTTTCCTGAACGATCCAGCGGACCCCCTCACCAAGGCACTCCTCAACCTTTTTCAACGACAGGCTGCTCCAGCGAGGCGACAGTCTCGTCATCAAATCTTTGCAAAAAGCCTACTCAAACTTCGGCAGTCCACAGTGAACGCATCTTGTGAAATATTACGTCAGTTGCCGCGATGCCCTTTGTTTTGTCGGGAAAAATAGTTGAGAAAAGAGAAAAGAAACTCCCACACTGTTGACAGCTGGGAACGTCTGCTGTCCCTGGTGTCCATACTATATGTGGTCAGAAGGCAGCTGTGTAAAGCACCGTATGATTCTGCACCGCTCCATGACGAGACCTGATCTCGCCCCAATCTCCAAATACACTCGCCCGCTGCCTTGGTCACTTGGTTAGCCGCTGTGGGCTAACGTGGGGGTGCGAAGACTGACAGAAAAAAAAAGAGTGTCTCTGAGCGAGCGCCGCCGAGCGACGCTGTTATGTTTAATTTTTTCTTTTCAATTCAGTCCTCCGTCTCCTGATTGGCTCCCTACTCTGAGGCTGAGCCCACCCCCTCTCCCTCGTTTTTGGCCGAGGGGCCGCCAATCAAGGTGACTGACGTGGTGAGTGGGGTTAGGGGGACTAAATGAAGGGATCAGTCGAGACTCTTCGCAGCTCAAAGAGGCGTTCTCCGGAGAGGTCAATGGTAACAGTGTGACACCCTCGTGTTTCCCTCTGTTACAGTGGTTCCTCCTCCTCCATGGGTTCCTCTTCTTGCCTGGTGGACAAAGAGACACACAAATGAAGGTTAAACCTCCGGCTGGCTGTCAGATTTCCTTCAACCACCTGCAGCTCTGCTCCGCAGACTTGGGACTCACTCTGCCGCTGATTGCAGAGCAAGTAACAGTAACTCTTCTTGACCTTTCACACATTTATGTGGGACTTTTCGAGGGCCCTCTTCACAAACTTCCAATAAGATGAGCAAAGTCTGTAAAATAATGGGCCAGTTGATTTAATTTAGACCAAACTCTGAGGCAAACATTCACTGATTGATTCTTTGTTATTCCCTGTTTCATTGTTAGCATGTCTTGTTTTAATTAGTACATGGCGATGTAGTATAATGGTGTCCTGTGTGTTTTACCAACATTAATATT